TCTGACAACCTTGAAAATGTTTCAGAAAAAAGTTATTCATTAAAAATGAATGTAATCAGTTCTGATTCTGAAAACGAAATATTTAGAGAGACTAAGAAGAATATGTCCTTACATAGAATAGTTCCCAAAAATCAAATAGCACATAGTTCTGATTCTGAAATAGACACTTGCGAAAGAGATTTAGTAAATACATCTTCTAGATCTGAAAAAAACAGAACACCTAATAACGTTTTGGACAAAAATTCATCCAAAATTAATTTTACTTCACCATATTTAGATGCAGTTCATAATGAAGAAACTATTAAAACATCTGTCCTGTTAGAAAGATTGTCTGTATCTCAAAAGACAACCATGAGTCCTGCAAAATTGGACAAAACTAGAATATCACATGATTTTAGGGGCAGACAATTACTTTGTAGCACTTTTATTGATGCACCAACATCCTGCAATACACCCATTAATAAGGAGACAGGCAAAAGGTTACTAAACAGATCAATTGATACTCCAAGAATTTTAAAACAAGATAAGAAAGAAACTGTTGAACCTAGGTAATTTTTATTTTTAGCATTAAAATTTTAACTTGTTTATAATTATAAGGATTATCTTCTGAATTATTAGTAAACATACAAGCAAAGAAATGCAACTTACTATTTTTATTGTGAATCAGCCAAAATTTTACTTTAAAATAAGTATCTGATGTTTTGATTTCTACTTAAGAAATCATTCTCAAAATACAAAACAGTTTATTTAACATTTCGATTTCTATTTTGGAAATCTTTCTCAAAATAAGTACAAAATCTTTATGTGATGTTTCAATTTCCACTTCTGAAGTCTTTCTCAAAATACAAAACAAATAAAATGTTAAAATGATTTTTAAAGTTAAATTGTGGCTAAAATTTTAAAGTTAAATTGTGGCTTATTCCTAATTCTTCCTCTTATAGTGCTGTGTACCTATAGTGTGTTGGCAAATTATCTTAAGGCCAGACATATGTCTTTTGCAGCATGCAAAAGATCGCCAGTGTTATTTATGCTTGTCCAGTTCTTTATGTTCCGTAGCCACGACATTTGTTTGTGACCTACTTCTCTCTTGCCTTCAATCTTTCCCTGGATGATTAGTTGAGGGATTGCGCATATTTTTTTCCTCTCAGAATATGGCTGAGGTATCCAATTTCTCGTACCTTGATCAAATTGAGTAGTTCTCTCTCAGTATTTGCCTTTCTTAAGACTTACTTGTTTCTCACCTTATCTGTCCATGGTATGCTGAACATTCTTCGCAACATCCACATTTCGATGGCCTCCAACTTATTAATGGAAGGTACTCTTAATGTCATGTTTCCATGCCGTATAACAGTTTATATGCCATACATAGCATTTAACCATCCTGTAGCAGAGAATGAAGGAAAGATTGTGGTTACATAGTAGCGGTTTATTATTTTTAATAAAAATAATAAATTGTATCATAGGAAACAAGAAAATAGCATCAGAACAATAAAATCAAATAAAGTTTATAAAAAATTTTTCATACTAAGAATCTATAAGACAGTCCTCATATTTTAATAAAACCAAGATCATTGGACCAAAACAAAAAACCGGCAATGTATGATTCATATTTTTTGGTATTCTAGTTTTGATTTTTGGTATACGGTTCTATAAATAGCTAATTCTATAAATAGAGAATGGTGTGTAATGACGAGATCGTATGTTAACATTTCAGTTTTTAGTCTAATAAAAAAAATAAGTATTTTCCAAAGTTTTCTGTTTTTTGAAGTTCTATATTAGGTACTTTTTAATAAGAATAAAATTTTACTTTATTTTGTTAGACAACTATAAGATACCTGTTAAAAGACACATGATAATTTAATAATTATGTCGGTCTTAGATTTAAGTTACGTAATTACTTATGTGTTTAAATAAATAATTAAATTTTTTTTGGTACACCTCTGCAAAATTGATGAGTGGAATATGATTTCGTTGAAAAGTTATCGTAAGGGCTTCATTAAGTGCGATGTTGCCAAGTAATCACCTTCAATTAAAAATTGTTTTAGTATA